GAGTTTCAACATGGTTCTAAGAAAATTCATAGAGAAAACTATTTGAATTCAAGTATGTTTACCTAAATCTAACTCGTCGAAAGATCTTGTTTCCATTCATGTCTACCTCGAAAGTCACATAAACACCAGGTTCAAACTGTTCTTTACTTTCTTTTCCACCTGTTCTTGATGAAGAAGAAGTATTTATTGGCATTGGCTTTGATGAATTCGATGTACGTGAGTTTGGTGATACTTGTTCCTCTGTCTTTTGATCTTGTTTGTTTTTAGAAGGAGATGTTTCTTGCTGATCAAGTCCCGAAGTTGCAAGAAGTGAAGATGTGTGTGATACTTTGTTTGCATTTAGATAAGCTTCAGCTTGAGAGTTAATCGATTCGAAAGCTTCACTTTCTGATACTTCAGGAGGTAATTTATCCTTCAATCCTTTTAACTGAAATTGAAAACATTCTTTAATATATTGCAAAAAAAAAAAAAAATGTTTTAATTTAAGCGAGCATTAAAAATTGGACCAAACCTGTTCTGCAACAGATTTAAGTGCTTCTGTTGCTGCTTTATGCTTGGAAGATTGCTTTGCAGCTAATTCAAAAGCTTCTTTAGCTGTTTTTTGGAATCTTTGGATATCTGTACCTTGATTATTACATTTCTCTTTCAAATTCTTAACCTAAAATTAAGAGGAAAAGTTTCGAGTAATGAGTTAGATTTGTTTTAGTGTTTTGTAAAAATGAAAACAATAGACAAGAAACTAAGATACCTGACTCTGCAATTTTGTCATTTCCTGGTTCATAACTTCGTTAGTCTTCTTCAAACTATCGATAACACTTCTTGAAAATCCAGAAGTGCGTGGAGGGCTCGTTCTTCTTGCATAAGGCGAGGAAGATCTTGCATTTGAAGGCGAGGATGATCTCGCAGGTGGAGGCGAAGGCATTAGTCCAGCTAGTTGACGCGGTGGAACAGCGGCAGGACCAACAGGTTTGAAAGCATTTTGAATCGCGGTAAGCGAACTCGGGAATGCAATGTCTTTAAGTTGTTGGAGAGATGGAACTTGCGAGGCACGGACATTAGAAGAATCAAGTTTGAATCCAGGTCTTGATGACTTGATTGGCTCTGTTGATAAGAGAACTTTAGACGATCTTGTTGTATCTTTATCTACTCTTACCGAGCCATCTATTGAACGTCCAGGAGTTGCATTATTATTCCTTGTTGCAGTAGAATTATAACCAGACTCCGCGGCTTTAAGTTTGCTGTAACACGCATCGCATACGCGATGCGGTTTCCCTGGAGTTGGAGCTAATGCTGCTTTTAAAGCTTTCTTTGAACTACAAGCATGACAATGGACTAAACCACAGTTATAACAATTGTGTCTCTTTCGAGTAAATCCAAAGGCTTGTCGACATCCGGAGCAGATTGACTGATCTGCTCCGGATACCCACTTATGAATACATATACTCGAGGTAAAGTTTGAGCCGCAAGATAAGCTCTTGACATGCCGGTCTTTTAAGGCTTCAACCAAAGTTGGTGTTTTCCTATCATCTATATCACCATGTCCTAATCTTCCATTAGCACCTTTCCCCCATGTGAATACTTCACTTCTTGACGTCAAAACCGCGACATGGTGGTCTCCGCACGCGATTTCTTCCACGAATTCTCCGACTAATCGATCTTGCACCAAGCAAGGTAATTTACCATCAGTGATTGTGTTACCTAGTTGACCATGTGAAGTCCCTCCCATTGTAAAAACATGTCCCGAGGTTGTGAGTGCGACGGTAAATGTATGTCCACAAGCAATTTGATGAAAGTTATAGTCAATAAGTGCAGAGACACAAGTGGGAAGCAAGTAGGTCTCTTTGTTCCCATGCCCTAACCTGTTTTTATCACCATCACCCCAAGTAAACAGCTTCCTAGATGACATACTCGTACCCGTCTGACCCATAACCTCGACAATCGCTGCCGTATGCCAAATGCTACAAGCAACTTTCACGGTTTTTAACCCGTTTAGCGATTGTACTTCCTTAGGATGTGAAAAACTTTCTCTATTTCCATGTCCCAAAACGCCAAACGCACCATCACCAAAAGTGAATAGCTTCCCATTTGCGGTAGCCAAAGCAGAATGCCACGTGCCACACGCAACAGAGAGTACCTGAAGACCTTCTAAAGGACCAGAAACTCTTTTCGGTATCCAATGGCTAATATCACTACCATGTCCTAAAAGCCCAACATTGTGGATTCCATCTCCCCATGAAAACAAGTCCCCAGAGGTCGAAACAACACAAGTATGATACTCTCCACAAGCAACAAAGTCTATGTTGGTTAGAGCAAGAAACTCAACGAGTTTCGGACGACTAATATCGACTTGAATACCATGTCCAAGCCTACCTCCAGCTTCTTCTCCCCAAGTAAACACTTCTCCTTGTCTTGTCACAAGCGCGACGTGCCTTACGCCGCAAACAATCTGATGAACATCAAGAACAACGTTTGATTCCAAGGGTCTTGGAGTTAACACATCTGTTTTCACTGTCTCTTTACTAACAGTCCCATCAGGTAATATCCCTTCGCTCCAAACCTCACCCCAAACGTATACATCACCTAATGATTCTATATCATCTGGACCAGACCCAGTTGAACAACTTGGTGTGCTTGAGACACTAATCCGAAAACCATCCGTACTTGGTCTTAACATGTTTCCACGTTCATATCCAACATCTGAACTACCGATATTGATTGGCGAACTGTTATGATAACTTAAATCAATCGATGTTCTACCTCGTGGAATATTGTTTGGGATAAAATCTATTGATTGACGACCAACAGAGAAGCAGTCACTGTCATTTATCTAGAAAACAGAAAAAATTAGTTAGTTGCATAATAGATTTTAAAAACATACAAAAAGGGACAACAATATTTTCATTTAAAGCAGAACATCCAAAAACATTGGACTGACAAAAAAAACTAAAGAACACACCTCAGGGATCTCACTTCTTGCGCGTCTATTACGACTTCTTTCAATTAAAGATTTAAGGCCAGCAAACCAAACCTCTGTCTCTGCTTTGTCCTTACAAATCTGTAAGAAAAATTAAGAAAAAAAAAATACATATATGATAACTGAATTTTCTAATGTATAATCTAATTTGAAGAAAGCTAAAGTGGTCTCTCTACTAACCAGATCAAGTGATCTTTCTCTATTGTTATATAAAAGTGAAAATGACAAGTGATCTTTCTCTGGACGCAAAAATCTCTTAAAAACAGCCTGTTCATGATGATAAGTTGTTAGAAACCACAAAAGATTGTGTGTTTTGAGTACATACTCAGTAATCAAGTCATACTCACAGTTCTTTGTCCAGGTACGATTCGAGAAACTTCAGATAATTTCAAACCTTTTTCTTCTCCACGCGAAAACCAAATCAACGCTTTTTCATCCTATCATCAACATTAATATGGTTATAGCATAATTTGAAAATGAAACAAAGAAAACATTGCAATATCTATATATTTATGTTCATAAGTAGAATACCTGAGAAAGTCTGAATGCGCGGAACTTAGGCTTCCCTTTCCGACTGTACTTGACTAATTGAGTTCCCTTTTTCAGAATGATAATTGCCTACAACAAAATGGGAAAATGAATTACAAAGAGAGATGTGAATTGGCCACAAAAAGTGCACAGCTTCATAAGAGATCCAAATTCAAGAATCACACATAACTTTTACTACAAGTATATAAAAATAACAAAAATCAAATAGCTCCCTTAGCCAAATCGAGAAAGATTTGTTCATCCAACCTAAATTGCGAATCACACACAATCTTGGTTGTTCTTTCATACTTTGTGAATTTATCTTTATTGAAGAAAGTGAACAAAATGATAAGGGCCTGATAGTTTGATCTTTATTCTTGAGAAAACAAATTCAACAATGTAAATATATATAATGTTTTGATCAGATAAT